AGCCATTATAACATTGTTGTACTTTTAAAAGGTGGAAAGACGTCATCTGTTCAGATTTCCTAACGTGAAACTATATGCCCCGTCCACACTGCGTCGGAGAAATTTGAAAACGGAGTTTTCAGTCTAAAAACGCATCAAATATTTTCCATCCACAATACGCCGGAGAAATTTGAAAACGGAGTTTTCACCCTGAAAACGCATCAATGTTTTCCGTCCACACTACGCCGGAGAAATTTGGAAACAGAGTTTTCACTCTGAAACCGTATCAAGTGTTTTCCATTCACACTACGCCGGAGAAATCTGAAAACACAGCAATCACCGGTCATTTTGTATTTGTGTTTGAGAAAAACCTACGCAGAGAAATGACGTGGTTATCGTGACGTCATCGTTTTTGAAAAGCTCCGTTTTCTAAATGTTTCCGTTCACACTGAAGCGCAAAGCCAGTGTTTCAAATTGCTCCAGTTTGAAGAGCGTTTTCTAAAAGCTTCGTTTTCGTGACGGATAAGTGTGGACGGTTGGCCTAACCGTAGAAATAAAGCTGCGTTTTCAATTTTTTTTTTTTCAGCGTAAGTAGATGCGGTCTTATCTCGAAAGTTCTTGTTAATTACAGTCAAAACCGTCTAATGCGGACACCAAACTTAGCAACAGAACTGTATGTCTGTATTATGGAGGTAGAGATTATATGAATTGTGATTCCTCAGAAATAGCTCTCTGAGACTATCTGTGATATAGAAGTGTCAGTGAGATGTTCGACTGTATAACAAATTTATTCACCAGAAAGTAGACAAGGGGCGCTGTCCATTCAGCCAAAAATTCCAGAATTTTAAAAAGAGTGGAAATGGTGTGGAAATTTCCGGAAAAGAGGATATCGTCTCGAGATATACTCAAATTTTTGAAAATTTGTTACCTGGAGTTTCCGTTCCCTTTAATGTTCCAAAGTTTTCGGAATTTTCGGTTGAATGGCTCGCATTTCGGGAATTGAACTTTATAAATAGATAAAAAAAAATTACCGAGATTTCCGTTTTCCAGTGATTATAATTCCTTGTAAGTTGTTGAGTGAAAGTGATGGAACTGAATAAAATAAGCAAACTATATAAAATGCGTGGATAGTTATAACATTGAAAGAAAGGAAACGATTAATGCATACCCACAACTGCCAAAAACTGTTGAGAACATTTAGAAGCGACAGGTTTTAATGTCATATCATGACCTTCAATATTCAATTGAGAAAATGTATTGTCATTTGAATCTGCTGCAAATTTTTACAGTTTGTAAAACAGACATAAGATTGGGCTCCTAATTTTTTCTTTGATTACTGTTGAACTGATGTTTTCCGTCCAAACTACCCCGAAGAAATTTGATAACGCAACAATCACTTACCTATACCAAGAACAACAAATTATGGACTTGAGTGCATCTGATATCAAGCTGCAAAAATTTGCAATTCGCTCCCAGACAGTATAAGAACAATAACATCTCTTAACGATTTTAAGACAGTCATAAAGAAAATGAACTTTTAGTAGTAGTTATAATTATTGCATTAGTAGTAGTTTTAATTATTGTATTTTGATAATTTAATTGATTTCTGTATTTTTTTTCTTTCTCGAAGATATTAGCTCAATAGAGCTACTCTGATAATTCGAGTTGAAATGAAGTGTATGTATGTATGTATGTCGTTTTGGATTTGTCTTCGAGGAAAACTCGCGCAGGGAGATCACAGGATTGTCGTGATGTCATCGTTTTCGAAAAGCTTCAATTTCAAAATGTTTTCCCGTCCACACCAAAATACAAACCAAGCGTCTTAAAATTTCTCTGGTTTGAAGAGCATTTGCGAAAAGCTCCGTTGTCGTGACAGATCAATGTGGACAGTAGGCGTAACCGTAGAAATAAAAGCCGGCTTCGTTTTCAAAATTTCTCCGACGTACTGTAGACGGGGATTGAAGGGAAACAAAACTCACTGTTTACCGTAGGGCCAGTCATTTAGTGTTTTGTTATACCTCCCACCTCAAACAAAAATAGAAAAAACTGCCACAAAATTATTTGCTTGACTCCAGCTTGCACAAAAATTTGCCGCGGTTTCAAGGTGCCCGACCTGATCACGTGCGAGTCCAAAGTTGTCGTTTCCCTAGGGAGTTGATGAGTTGCGATGCATGACACGTGACACGTTCTTCTCCAATCGGAAAAAGTATTTGAGTTGGAAGGTATAACAACGGAGTTGACGCCATCTTACTTCCTTGCTCGCTTTAACACGGCAAAAATTACACAAAGGATATGGGGAAAATTTAAAGTTCAATGCCTAATGACTTGGAGTGATTTATTTTTTTAAGATCTCACACGTTGCAAGGAGAAGATACCTAAAGGTGCTTTGATCAAATTGGAAGAACATGGATTTTCTGTGAGGAGAAGAATTACACTTTTCAATTTTTCATACAAATGTCTAAATTTTTGTGACTAAGCTTTTAAAGACAACTGTATGAAAAACTGAAAGCCTTAATTGTTGCTTTTCTAGCGAGGCTATTTCCCTCAAACCTGATCAGTAAGTTATTTTACCTAATATCTATAGTTCTTAATTCCCAAATATTTCAGAACTCGAATTTCCATGAGTTGTTAGACATTAGATTCTTCTCTTTTCCCCAAGCAACATGTTTGCCCCAAGTAACATGACCCACGAAACGGTGAAAGGGTCTGTTCACCACATCACAAGTTACTCTGTAAACTGCAGCAAGAAAAATAAAACCCCAAACAATGGCTTCACATCAATACTACTACCCAGTCCTCTTAGCAGACCATACAGAGCCCATCTTAAGAACATATCAAAACCAACCACCTGTTCTCTTCATTAAGATCGTTACTCCAACAAAACTAAATTAACGTTTATTAGCTCAGTTGTTTTTCACATAAACCAAGTGAAAAAACTCTTTTGACATCTTTGTTCCAAGTAGATGTTGGTTAAATGCTTCTTGTTAAGGTAGATTTTCTTTCTTGTTCTTTACACAATACCCTAAATTACAGAATAAGACAGGTAGTTTCATCTGTTCTTTGAGGATGTCACAATTCTGTGAAAAATAACCAATTCTGTTGACGTTTGTATGCCGCAACACAACAAAATGTTCAACTTAAGTCTACCGAATATCCTCACTCTGTTTTTCCTTGTTTTGTTTACATCCAGGTATGGCAAAACTTGCCCAAATGCTTTTGGAAAATTTCAAGAAATCTTGCAGACTCCTCAGATAGCTGGACGGCTTGGTGGGGGCACGAAAACGAAGATTTCTGACCAGTTTGTCCTCACGAAGATGGAATGTCTCGATGTTTGTTTGCGAACAGAGGAATGTGGCTCCTTTGACATGAAAAGGAAGTCAAAGTACTGGATCTGCAAAACTAACCGACGGTTTAACGCTGAAGGCACGAGTCCTACATTTAAGCAAAAAAGAGAAAATAGCTGGATACATTTCAACGCGAGTTCGCAGGAGCTTCAAGAGGTCAGTTATTTAGTTACGGTTACCTTATACTTTTATAGGTGTCTCCCGTCCAACCAACGTAACGCGTCCGGTTTTAACTGTAGATACCTAAACCCCTATATCAAATTACAGCTTACTGAGCTGGCTAACAATCTATACCAAGAATTTTGCATTAAACTGACGGCCGAATTCTTTTCATCTTCTAAATGCGGGCGTCCGAATCGTCTTTTGAAAGTTACAAGTCAAAGGGAATTTGTTTGTTTGCCCTTAAATCTGGAGAGTAGCTAGTCTAACATATTAGATAACAAAAACGTGTCTGCGAACTTTTTATTTCGAAATATTTTTTCTTCGAGAACGATTTTTGTACGATCACTCCACATTTCTTTAATCTTTTTTCGAAAATGTTCTGGGACTTTTTACCGCAATTGAGTATGGTAAAACGCAGACACGTTTTTTTAGCACTTTAGGCACGAAAACTGAGGAAGAAATTAAATTGGCGAAAAACAATAAAAATACAGTTCTAAATACATTTGTCTTAGACTAGGGAGATATAGCATTAAGCTGTCATGTGTGGCAAACAAACCGAAAAATATGAATGACCTGTACAAGTCATTAAGACCGGTCGTTAACTCAAACAATAATTAGCTCAAAAAGCCCTTCTGTTGTCTTCTAAATGTGAAAATTGTTTAATATCTCTTGACAAGGACATGATCACAATGGTAGCAATTATCTTTGGAAGGATGGCACCCAATAAGCTGCTACGTTCCAGAAAAAGAACTTTTCACTTTACGTAAAAGATGTTTTTACGTGGCCAGCGGCCCTGATAATTTATTGGGCCCCGTCCACAGCACGTCGAAGAAATTCGGAAACGCAGCTTTATTTAAACGTTTAACCTATCGTCCAAACTAATCCGTCAGAAGAAGGAGCTTTACGAAAACACTCTTCAAACAGAAGAAATTTGAAAACGGAGATTTTCGAAAACGATAACGTCACGATAATCATTTTATTTTCCTGCACAAGTTTTCCTCAAGCACAAATCCAAAATGACCGGTGACTGTTGCGTTTTCAAATTTCTCTGGCCTAGTGGAAACGCCGTTTTCAAGCTTCTCCGGCGTAGTGTAAAGGGGGCCTAACACCTTTCTCTTAAATTCAGTGGTATACGTGTATACTATCAAATCATTTGAATAGCAAATCACAGGATTATTTATTTTCTTGTTGTTTTTAACAGATTTTAACATCAGTGGCACAAGACTGCTGGCCATAGGAGAGTACAGATGCCGTGCGCACGTTTCGGAGAAAATGTAATTGATGATGTAATACTGTCTTGCGCTATGAACCTTAAACCTTTGAATACCAAACTTTCGCCCAAAAAAAACCGTTTTTAACCGTTTAGTCAGGTTTTTTGACTGCCATGACGCTAAATAAGCCTAAGTTTTGCTAAGAAAACTTCTTTTTTTTTACCAAAAGGAGAGATTTTTCGAGGATTACGTAGAAAATTGAGCAATATTTCAATTCCGGTCATGCGCATAAGCCAAAATTTGGATTTTTTTTTGTGCCATTAACCGTTCTCAATTTTGTTTGTTGCCCCTTTCCTTTCTGTTTTTTCTCGGCCCCTTTACTCTGGCTACCTTTTGCGTTGCATGTTCCTTCTAGTTAGATGTTAATTACGGGCGAAGCGTAGAAA